TAGCCGTGACACCATTACAACATGATGGACCTACTTCTCTCTGTTTTGATGCCCGTATCTTGGCGAGGAGAAAGATGTGATAACAGTGAGCATCACGTTTTCTGTTGCTCTTTAGCGGTGGATTAACTCCTCTAAAGTCTGTTTCGCACCCATGAAAATCATGCAATCCTGACTAATGTTCAAATTGGCGCATCTTGACGGCTGAATGTGACGCGTGTACCACCGCCGGCGTCCCCGTGCGGCTCGTGTCCCAGCGCCCTGTACCGAGCGTGGTCCGTGTCCCAGCGCGCTGTACCGAGCGTGGTCCGTGTCCCAGCGCCCTGTACCGAGCGAGGTCCGTGTCCCAGCGCCCTGTACCGAGCGTGGTCCGTGTCCCAGCGCCCTGTGCCGAGCGTGGTCCGTGTCCCAGCGCCCTGTACCGAGCGTGGTCCGTGTCCCAGCGCCCTGTACCCAGCGTGTGCGTGTCCCAGCGCCCTGTACCGAGCGTGGTCAGTGTCCCAGCAGCCCTTGTACCGAGCGTGGTGCGTGTCCCAGCGCCCGTACCGAGCGTGGTCCGTGTCCTAGCGCCCTGTACCGAGTGTGGTCCGTGTCCCAGCGCCCTGTACCGAGCGTGGTCCGTGTCCCAGCACTCTGTACCGAGCGTGGTCCGTGTCCCGGCGCCCTGTACCGAGCGTGGTCCGTGTCCCGGCGCCCGGTACCGAGCGTGGGTCGGTTCCAGATCTGCGCCGAGCTGCTGTGCGTGCCGGACCTGGCGGAGGACCTGTGGGCGGGCGACTCGGCACTGCGCTCCCTGCTGGATGAGGCGGCTGACCGGTTCCCGGCCGACGGCGTGCCACTGCTGGAGCTGGCCGCCGCGCTGGCGCAGGCCGGTCGGGACAGCCTTGCCCAGGTGGGTTGGGTGGCACGACGGCCGCGGTGCATGGGAGGGCGGGCCATGATAGGTGGTCTATCTAAGCTGGTACGATTGAGCTGCTGGTGCACCTATCAGGTGTTCAACTGCGGTATGTACGCCTGATGCCTGGAACATGGCTGCGTGGTGCTGGGTCAGCAGTGGTTTCATCTCTCCAACGAGAGGAAACGGCACTGACGCAGCTCCCCGACGCTTGAGTAGAGCGCGACATTGCGGTTGGAGCTGTATCGCCCCGGGGTATGGGAGGCTCAGTTTCCCTCGCTGTCGGCCGGGGTGGTGGTGGCGTCCGGCCGGCCCTGAGGAGCGCGCTTGCCCGCGCTGAGTAGCGCTGCTCTACGGCTGCTGCTGCGCTGCAGTCCGTGCGCGCCTCCGCCGAGTGCCTCCGCTCCCAGTGTCTGTGCCGCTGACCGTCCCCCGACCGTCCCCCAGATGGTCTCCTATCTGGACCGGCTGCCGAGCTACGCTGTGCCGGAAGCGCTGGTGCCGGCGGGCACGGCCGTGGCGGCGCTGGACGACTGGACGCTGCAGCACGACTGGTACCCTGAGCGGCGGCTGCCGAAGCTGGTGCTGCCGGCCGGCGCGACGGGTCGCCTGCTGCCCGGCGCCAGCCGGCTCGTCTGCTGGCGCGTCAGCCACCGGCTGGCAGCAGGGCCTATTTTCCTTGATGACCTGCAGCGCGAGGTGCGTGTGCCGCAGCTGCAGACGTGTGCCCACAGCAGACGTGCGTCGGCCGTCGGGGGCGCCAGCCAGCCGCGAGACGGCCGGCCGGCCGCTATCAGTCGTCGGTGGCAGCGCCCGATCACACCGGCACACAACTGGCAACCAAGTTTTAAGCTTTAAGAAACTGGTGGTTGATAAATAATGCTCATTTGGGGCTAGTAGTCAAGGGTTCAAAACCGCACGCAAATCTAATGACACGATCGGTACATCAAAGACAACTGGCGACGCCTGTAGCATATGATGCTCACTGCCAGCTCATGACCACCACGCCTGCACTGTATAGTGTACCGGCGCCATCTGCTGGCCACCGGTCTAGAGCGGTCGTTGTTGCCTGCCCCAGCGGAAGATGGGCGAGCAGCACGTGCAGCCGGAGACGTCGGAGCGGGCCCGCGCGCACGCGCGGCTGCTGCGGGCGGTGATGGAGCATGGTACACCGGAGCAGGCGCGCCACCTCCGGCCCCCACATCGAGCTCGTGTTCCCATCCTGGAGAGGTGAGCCGCTTGTTCCCCCGCCTGTTCTCCATCCGGGAGAAAGCTGTAACGCGTGCGACCTGGCCTCCGTTTTCATGCAGGATGCTCTGGTAAGCTTGGGCTCCGGTCCTGATGCGCGTAGTGTGCTGCTCTGGTTCTATGGTGGGCGGGATACGGCACCGAGCACCCCGCTTTGTGGCGGGCTGGCTGCTCCGTATGCTGCGATGTGCTGAACGAAGCCCGGCCGCAGGCACTACCGCTGGGGGTGTGCGCCGCAGCCGTTCGTCCACCACGCCGCCGAGGTGCTGGCTCTGCATGCGCGCGTGGAGCCCGACTACGTGTGGGAGCACATGGACAGGAACAGGTCAGCACCACCGCTCCTGCCGTCGCTCGGTCGCGTGGCACGCCGAGAGTCTGGTGCGAGGGCCATAGCCTATGGCGCCGACTGCTGCGGCCGAACCCAAACAACTGCGGACAGCGAACCGTGAACCCCTCGCGCTTACAAGTCGCGCGCCTGCCGTGGCGCTGATTTCCCGCAGATTCAGCGTCGGCTGTGTGTTACGAGATGGTTTGCCCTTGATTGTTCCGCCTGCACGGCCCGGTGACGGGTGCCGCTGCTGTGTGCTCGTGTGACATAGGTGACCACCTCTCTCGTTGGCGTACCACCAGGGGGCCCTGGGTTTGTCCCTGATGGCTCCGCCTGCACGGCCCGGTGACGGGTGCCGCTGCTGTGTGCTCGTGTGACAGAGCTGACCACCCCGCTCGTTGGCGTACCACCAGGGGGCCCTGGGTTTGTCCCTGATGGCTCCGCCTGCACGGCCCGGTGACGGGTGCCGCCGCTGTGTGCTCGTGTGACATAGGTGACCACCCCGCTCGTTGGCGTACCACCAGGGGGCCCTGGGTCGGCCGTGCTCGGTCTGATGGCTGTGACACGCTGCAGGTTACTGCCGTGCGCCGGCGCCGGCGCCGACCCGCTGCAGTCGGTGGTCGCCGGCCGCCTCGGAGAGCTGATAGAGGCGCACGAGTGCGTGCAGCGGCGCTACCCGCTGACGCAGGCCTTCCTCCAGCTGCTGCTCAACACCGTCCAGGTGGGCGGCGGCCGCGCGGCTCGTGCACCCTTGCACGGACAGAGCGCGGACACCATCGCTCTCCTGGGCATGGGTGCAACATTCTTCTAGTATTGTCGATGTATGCAGACTTTTGGTTAATCTTGCGTCAGCTTTGCTCACATCACATACATAGGTCTGCGTAGGTTTCTCGTTATATAGCCGTCCAAGTTTTGCCTGGATGCTGCATTGTTTCGAAGTTATCTTACGAGGTTCCTACGTACGGTGTAATACCATCGTAGTGAAGATTGGCAGTCTAGTTCCTGTGACCCACCGGCGTCCAGTTTTCCTCGGCGCGTGCCGACCGCGTCGTCTGTTGGTTGTGTCTGGGGGTGTCGATGGCACGCGGTCGCTGCTGGTGGTCCGTGCAGCCGAGACGCGCCGTGAGGCGTCACCAGCTATCTGTATGGCCACTGCTGTCGGTGGCGAGCCGTGTGACCCGTCCGATGTCTGGGCGCCGACCCGGCAGGCGGCGCCACAGCTGGAGCTTCCAGCGCTGGCGCCCTGCGTGGCGTTCGTGCTGCGCGACGTGTTCCCGGCGCACGAGCGGTGGCAGTACGCGCGGCGCGGCGACCAGACCGCGCTCGGCCGCGCCTGTCTCAGCCTCTGCCACGCCCTGCTGGCGCTGGAGCGGCCCGGACCGCTGCAGGCGCTGGTGGCGCGCGCGCTTACCGACTCGCCGGCGGCTGAGACGCTGCTCTCGCTGGTGGTGCACGGTGGGTGGGGCGGCACGGCCGCCGGCGACCCTCACCATTCCATTGTGGCGACAACCCTAGTGGCCAGGCTTTGCAGCCACACGTCCTAACCAAACGCCGTGACCTGGTTGGCGCCGGAGCGATCGGCGATAGTCTGACTGCGGGATGCAGTGTCCAGCTGGGCAGGATGATTTGCCGTGCGATCCGTTCGGGTGTGAACGACCACATCCTGTGGGTGGTGTTGGACGTGTTGCGGTGTCTTGCGCGCAGCGTTATGATCGTTGTTTTGTGACGAAAGCGTCAGCGGTTACGCGCCACCACGCCCGTCGCCCGTCGTCTTGCAGTCGTTCCCCAGTGTTGCACCATGGTTCTGGCAGGTGAAGCTCGTATCGTCATGCTGCTAGAGGAGCAGACCCACTGGGACACGGGAGCAGGTCTGGAGTTTATCCGTCTCATCCATGTGGCGCTGTCCGTGCTTAACAGGTGCGTCCCACAAGCCTCCTGAGCAGCCAGTGCCATTGAACTCTGTGCGGCAGGTTTTTTGTGGGTGGCATCGTTTCCTGCGTGCGTGGAGTTCATGAGCAGTTGCTTTTATGAATTCTGTCCCTATGTGGTATACAGCGGTGCTAATAACGGCATGTGTCTATTCGGACACACGCCTTGTGACAATGACTAGGGTTGTATGCAGAGTTGTCGGGCCTTGTGGCCTTGTACAGATGTGCGGTTGCAGTTGACTGGCCCGCCTGCTGGCCGTCTGACCTCGTCCGTGCGTGTGTCTGACCCTGACCTTTGACCTCTCCCGTGCTTGTGCTTCTGACATGACGTTTGACCCCGCCCATGCGTGTGTGTCTGACCCTGACCTTTGACCTCTCCCGTGCTTGTGCTTCCGACCCGACGTTTGACCCCGCCCATGCGTGTGTGTCTGACCTTGATCTTTGATTTCAGCCATGCATGTGTGTGACCCTGACATTTGACCTCGCCCGTGCGTGTGTCTGGCCTGACGTTTGACCTCGTCCATGCGTGCGTGTCTGATCTCTGACCTGTGACATGGCCCGCCGCTCAGACTGCTGATGCTTCGTTGCCGCGCGTCGTCGGTCGGCCCGGAGCCGAGTCTGCTGGAGCGTCTGCTGACCGAGCAGCCGGCCGGCCGCAGTCAGCTGCGGCCCGTGCTGGCCATCGCCCAGTACCTGTTCCACCGGCACAATCCGCACCTGCCGACGCTGGCCATCCGGCTCCTGCTGCGACTGGCCAAGGTGCGACGGCCGGCGGCGCCGCCGACGCACCAGGCCGCCTGGGTCACCAGTCGCCCGTCGCTAGCAGTCTCCTGCACTGGCGGGAGCATGCACAGCATGTCGGTTTGCTCATGAAGTGGTGTCTGCCACCGGACAGGGCTTAACATTTAGCGGTGCGAATTGGAGCGATAGAGCTTCAAGGAGTAGTGCATATCCTACCGAGGGCTGGCGGAGCATATTCGATGTCTCTGTTGGAACCACTGTGCTTCTACCCGTGGAGATGCTTTTCGGTGGCCCGCCCGCGATGTCCCCACTTGCAGAGCCTGTGAGTTGTCCGTCGTTGCCTGGCTGTAAACAGTGACGCTGCCATCTTGCAGTGGGTGTGCCGGGCGCCGGTGTGACCCGGCTGCCGGCCGTCTCTGATCTGACCAGGTGTTCCCGATGTCGCTGCCGGCCTCGCTCGGCCAGGACTCGGACGTCATCTGTGTGCCGGGCGCCGGTGTAACCCGGCCGCCGGCCGTCTCTGATCTGACCAGGTGTTCCCGATGTCGCTGCTGGCCTCGTTCGGCCAGGACTCGGACGTCATCTGCGGCGTCATCCTGACGCGACTCCGCTCCGAAACGGAGGACGTCAACCTGAAGGTGGCCATCCTCGACTTCATAGCCACCTGCGTGACGTCACAGCCGGGCCTGCTGCAGCGGCTCATTGGTGGGTCACACGGGCTTGCCGGGGCTCACACACGGGCTTACGGAGGCAGGACAAAGGCACGGCTCAGGACTGGACGTTGTGTGCTCGAGATTCATTGTCACCGTGACATTCTCCAATCTTGATAATTCATTTTAATAGGATATGTGACATCATGCATACGCTGCGGTCTTTTTTGTATATATAGATAGTGATGGCTTTTATTTGTCTGACTTTTGCGTGGTCGCCTTCGCAATTAGCAGAAAGTGGAACGTGAAACATGGTGGGTGGGGTTTGCTGTTGCCGTGGATGCAGTGCGTAGTCCGCCATTTTCTGTCGTTTGGCCCACGACTGGCGCTGCTGGGCTATTAATGGCCGAATCTGGCCTAATTGACATCAGCTGTAGCCTCTCCCAAATTCTGCAGGAATTGGTGCCATTGAAACTGAGGAAGGATCGAAGAAGAAGGCCGAGCAGGACGACGAGGGTGGATTCCTGGAAGAGCTGCTCATCATTCTAAAAGAACATAACGATGTAAGGCTAAGCCTGCATACTGTCCATCCGAAGAGTGGACCTCTAAAGTTGTGACTAAATTGAATGTGTATGATTGTGGCAGGTATCACAGTGCCCTGCTACTGTGTGAATCACATTTTGCAAATGCCCGCCAGGGATGCAATGTGCTCTACCTGTTGTGCATTTTCCAAGAGCACGTGCATCGAAGGCGTGCGTGCCATCGTGTCTGCGCCCACCGCCGACCGACCGCCGCCGGGCCTGACCTGGACCCCGCCGCCGGCGGGCCTGACCTGGACCGCGGCCGCCCTTCTGACGCCCCGCTCCTTGCCGGCAGCCGGACGGGCGCCAGTCGCCGCTGCTGCTGGCGGCGGCGGCGCTCGTACATGCCCTCTGGCTGGGCCAGTGCGGCTCGGCGCTGACCTACCTGAGCGGCGCCGAGCACTTCTGGTCGGACCTGACGGCGCCGCTGCTTTCGGCACCCGCGCCGCTGCCGCTGCTGCTGGCCGCCCACCTGCTGCGCACGCTGGCGCTGCAGCTCTACTACGGCCGGCAGACGGACCGCCGGCTGGCGGCTGTGCTGGCCGGCGTCACCGGCGACGGCGGCCGTCTGCTCAACACGTGGTCAAAGGGGGCGGCGGACGTCAGGCGGGGCCGGCTCCTCTGTGAGGGCGGAGGCCGTGTGACCGGCCAGTCGCCAGTGCAGCAGGCGGCTTATGAGGTAGGGCCGGCCAGATGCTGCATCACATCGTCCTGCGGCCGGTGCGCACCAGCGTCGTTGCTGCGGCGGCCGTTGCTGGAGTCCGGCCGCCACAGGTCCCTGTGTCTGCACTCTCCGCCCCCCCCCCCCGCACCTCAACCATATCTGGTGGCTGACGCTCGTTGACCGTGGGTGGGTGGCTGGCACTCCAGCCGCCGCTGGCTGAGTGCCTGACCCCTGATGATGCCGCGCCGCAGCTGGTGATGGATGTGACGTGCTCGCTGTCGTCCGACCTGAACTCGTCGGTGGACCTGACTGGTCAGGAGGAGGCCTCCGAGGAGAAGCAGGACGACGGCGCCAAGCTGCTGCTGGCCTGGCGGGACTGGTGTCTGGTGGCGGCCGCGCCAGGTGAGGTCGGTCACACGGGGTCAGACTGGTGTCTGGTAGCGGCCGCGCCAGGTGAGGTCGGTCACACGGGGTCAGACTGGTGTCTGGTAGCGGCCGCGCCAGGTGAGGTCGGTCACAGGGGTTAGACTGGTGTCTGGTGGCGGCCGCGCCAGGTGAGGTCGGTCACACGGGGTTAGACTGGTGTCTGGTGGCGGCCGCGCCAAGTGAGGTCGGTCACACGGGGTTAGACTGGTGTCTGGTGGCGGCCGCGCCAGGTGAGGTCGGTCACACGGGGTTAGACTGGTGTTTGGTGTCGGCCGCGCCAGGTGAGGTCGGTCACACGGGGTTAGACTGGTGTTTGGTGTCGGCCGCGCCAGGTGAGGTCGGTCACACGGGGTCAGACTGGTGTTTGGTGTCGGCCGCGCCAGGTGAGGTCGGTCACACGGGGTCAGACTGGTGTTGGTGGCGGCCGCGCCAGGTCACGCGGGGTCGGACAGGTGTCTGGTGGCGGCCGCGCCAGGTGGGGCTGCCGGTCACAAGGGGTCAGACTGCGGGGTCAGGCGGGCTCGGACGCACAGCTCACGTCATTGAGTGACAGGTCGGATGAAGGGCTGTCCAGGGGCCAGCCACACCACACCCCCTCCCCAAGGCGGTCAGAGTCTGACCGAGTGAGGCGCATTCATGGCTTTAAAAGAAAATGTAGGTAACTGAGGCTTCTGGCAGAACGCTAATAGGACCAGTTTTGTTAAAATCAGGACACGTTTTACTTTCCCCAAGCGGCCACGGCCTCGCCCGACGCTGGCCAGCCATTCGAAGGCGGTATTTCTGCTCTGATCCGCTCATACAGAGGTGGTCAGGCTTGGAGCTACTACTCAGGCTTGGACATCAACACACGGGGTGGGAATTGCGGTCAGGACTCGCTCTGGGCTCATGTCAGACCTCGGGTGCCGCCGCGGTCGGCTCAGATACGAGCCCTCGGCTGGGTGCACCGGACACGCGCGGCCATCTGTCGTCTGACCGACGCCGGGACGATCGCAGGCGAGATGGTGAAGCTCTCGACGGACAGCCAGCAGCGCCTACTGCTGGACCTGATGACGGCGCTGGAGAGACAGCTGACCGCCGACGGCCGGCCGCGGCTGGTCAACACCCTCTCGGAGCTGGTCATGACGCTGGCCGCCCGCTGGCCGGAGTGAGTGACGCCATCGGCGGGAGGGACGCCCGCGGGAAACCGGGGCGAACAAGGGTGGAGCAGCAGCAACTGGCGCGTGCTGGCATGTTCATTGTCGTAGTTGAAATGCTGGCTGCATGGTGGTGCACTCGGCGGGCGCGGGTGGGGCTCCATGTGAGATGTTCATGGGACGTGCCGTTGACACCGTTGTGAGTGGTCGGCTGTCCGTTGGCCTGCCGTGAGCAGTGCCGCGGTCTGGGCTGTGCGTCAGCACCGAGCCGGCCATCCTCTTGGCTGGCGTCGCTGACCGCTGATCGGCGGCCACGCGTGGGCAGACGCTGCGCCGAGCGCGCCGTCCAGGAGCGCTGCTGCAGCCTGCTGGAGGCCTGCAGCGCCCGCTTCGAGCAGGTGCACGTGCGGGCCCGCACAGCCGTGCTCACCACCGTGCTGCACACCCTGCAGCAGAGCTCCGGGACCGCCGAGCAGGGTGAGGGCTGTCCCGCAGCTCGGTGCGCCCCCGCTCTCAGCCATGCATCCCCACATCGCCCCACAGCTGTCAGCGAGTTGGCGCTGGCGTGCCGGACTGCTGTGCGAACCTCCTCATTGATGCGCAACTTTTCGTGGACTGGGTGCCGTCAAAAGACTGTGAGTGTGAAATTTTTGGGCCCTCTTGGCACAAGGTAGGATGAAGTCAGTACATCAATTGTGCTGTGTCCTGTCACCGTGGTGTGCCGCCTCTGTGTGTGTCGCTGTGGGCTACGGCCGGCCGCTGACGCCCCGCTGCGGCCCGCCGCCAGAGCCGCCACTCTGGCGGCGCTGCCTGTCGCCCGCCTGCCAAACGCTGGAGCTGGCGCTGCGTCACACGGAGCCGGCCGACGCGCCGGCGCCATCCGTGCGTCTGGCCGGTCTGGCGGCGCTGCTGCTCCGTCAGCTGCAGGCCGTCGCGCCGGCGCGCCGCCCGCTGCCCGGCCGCTCGACGCTGCCGGCCGTGCTGGTAGCGCTGGGACGCCGCCTGCGCCGGCCCCAGCAGCCCGAGCTGTGCGAGCGGCTCCTGCAGGCGGCGCTAGCGGCCGCCGCCCAGCCGGAGGCGGCGCGCGCTGCCGTCTCGCTTAGCCTCTCCAGCGAGCTCTGCCTGCCACTGGCTGATCTGCGTCAGAAGGTGAGCACGCGCCCACGCTGCCGGACCAGGTCGGAGAGTAGATGGGCCTGGTCGGGGAGATGGTACAGTGATCCCGCTGGGCCTGGTCTGGGGAGATGGTGCAGTGATCTCTTCTGGGCCTGGTCTGGGGAGATAGTACAGTGATCCCTGGGGGCCTGGTCTGGGGAGATGGTACAGTGATCCCGCTGGGCCTGGTCTGGGGAGATAGTACAGTGATCCCTTCTGGGCCTGGTCTGGGGAGATAGTACAGTGATCCCGCTGGGGCTGGTCTGGGGAGGTGGTACAGTGATCCCTGTGGGGCCTGGTCTGGGGAGATAGTACAGTGATCCCTGCGGGGCCTGGTCTGGGGAGATGGTACAGTGATCCCGCTGGGCCTGGTCTGGGGAGATGGTACAGTGATCCCGCTGGGCCTGGTCTGGGGAGATGGTACAGTGATCCCTGCGGGGCCTGGTCTGGGGAGATAGTGCAGTGATCCCGCTGGGCCTGGTCTGGGGAGATGGTACAGTGATCCCTGCGGGGCCTGGTCTGGGGAGATGGTACAGTGATCCCTGCGGGGCCTGGTCTGGGGAGGTGGTACAGTGATCCCGCTGGGCCTGGTCTGGGGAGATGGTAGGGACAAGCCGTCTGTGCTCGGCTTGGCCTGCTGCGATACCCATCATCCGTCGCCCTACATAATTGCCCATACGTGCAACAGAAAGGACATTAACCAGCTGTAGAAATGCTTGAGCCCTCACCAGTGATGTGCGAGTATTTCACAGCATGTTCCCAAGTAGCCTGACTCCATTGAGTGAGCCATTGTCAGCGCTAGAAGCTGGCCATGTATTGGCCGACGGGACCTGGCGCTGTCGCGTGCGCTGCCCATCGGTGACCTGAGGTCCATGTCGCCGGACTGCCGGGCTGACCTGCCGGCCGTCCGTCCAACAGCTGTTACGTCCGTCTAACAACTGTGACGTCCGTCTAACAACTGTAACGTCCCCCAACAACTACAACGTCCGTCCAACAGCTGTAACGTCCCCCAGCAACTGTAACGTGCGTCCAACAACTAAAACGTCCGTCCAACAACTGTGACGTCCGTCCAACAACTGTAACATGCGTCCAACAACCACTCAAATCGGATGAGGTCGTCACCGCCAGCTGGCTGGGCAGGAGACTTTGCTGGTAGATGTGCAGGGCAGTGTGACAAGCTAGCAGCTGGCGTGAAAGAAAAACGGCCTCTTAAGTTATGAAACCTTGATTAAACACCGATTTTCGAACTCGCGTCATTTAACTGTTGCCGCTCTCATCCTGAGGTGTAGTTGTGCAGAGTAGGCTCGGAGTATGAGCTGTGGAAAATTGTAATAACCCCCACCCCTTCCTCCAGAAAACACCAACAAGCGTGTTTTATCCGGGCTTAGCTGACATACATATCGCGATAGATAGCGTTTGTCATTGCCTATCGAATAAAACCATTTTCATTGATTTACCTGGTATAGGGGCCGAGCTATGTACGCAATAATACGTTATGAAATGATAGCGGAAGAACGGGTACAGCTCTGCAAACAAATTGTAAGCGTGTTGTGAGGGAGCGTGTAATCGCTTAAAGGTACTCCATGATGCGTTCCGACTGGAGCTGACCTAAGTGACCAGCTGTACCGAGCTCACAGGCAGTTGGAAACCCTGCGGAGCACTCTCGCCAACATCCACAGGCATATATTCCGAATCCATAAATCCAAGATACATATCAACGCAATGCTCAACAAAAGCGTCGTAGGCTGTTTGCTTCGGGTCGGTGGGGGTGGTTCAGCTGTGCAGCCAAATCGCGCTGAAACGGGAAAGGAAAGTCCATGTTTGCTACGCTGTTCCACGTAGCGGTATTACGACTGTATGGCGCCCCAACGCTGCGACGGGTCGGGCAGGCCCCCGGCGGGTTCGGCGCGGCCGAGTAGGGTCGGGTCCCTCAGCGCCGGTCGATCGGCGTGGGCGGGCGGGCGGGGCCGGGCGCACGCCGCAGGGATGGCGGCCGGGCGCGCGCGGCTAGCTCGCGCGGCTTTGGCGTGAAGCCTAGCCGCATCTCTTCTGCCAGCTTGTCGGGCGGCCGCGCCGCGTTCAGATAGTACGCCCAGTAGCAGACGTGAAGAGCAAGAAGGCGGCCGGGTACACGACGAACGAGGCCTTCTCGAAGTTTTTGGCGGCACGCGTCCACCGCTCGGAGGCCGTATCGGCGTGGGCGGCCGACGGCGGCGGGGCAGACTGCTCCACCTCGGCCGCGAAGTTCACCGCCAGTCCGCCACGGTTCTCGGCCGCGTGACCGGCGGCCAGTATCGAATTGAAGAGCCGGGTGGCCGGCGACGGCGGCGGCAGCTCCGGCCGACTCGGCGCGTCGAAGAAGACGGACGGCGTGGGGCGGCGGGCTCGTCGTCCAGCCCCCCGAACAGGTCGTCGAAGACGCGGCGGTTCTCGACCAGCGCCACCGGACACGGGCGTGAGAAACCCGAGCCGTTCTTGCTTGTACGACTGCGAGACGACAAACAGCAGCCGGATGTCGATCAGGCAGTCGACGACGGCGGCGAACACGAACAACAGGCACACGAACATCCAGACGTCGATGGCCTTGATGTAGGATGTCGACGGCGAGTGCATGCTGACGAGGGAGTAGAGCGCGGCCAGCGTCAGCATGGTGGTTATGGTCAGGATGATGCGGCCCTGCGCATACGCTGGCGGGATGATGAATGTCATCCAAGAGATGATGACGAACAGCACAGTGGGGAAGTATATCTGGAGCACGTAAAACTGTAGTTTGCGGGAGAAGATGAGAGCGACGCCGATCCGTGAGAAGGTCCCGGTGGCTATTCGAAGTCTCCTACTTTCAAATGCGCAAGCCAAATGAGAACTGGTCGAGGCTGTAATCTGAACTGACTCCGACGGTGCTGTGCGGATCCCACATAATCGTCTGGATTGCCTGCTCCAGGCGCCAGCTTTCTATGTAAATCGGACAATACTGGACATCCATTGGAAAGTTCTGGAAGTCCATCGGACAAGACAGCTTGAAGACACCAAACATCACGTACGTGACGTTACCGTGCTCGTCCACTCGGAAAGTCTCCGCTGCCGCCAGAATCTCGGGTCTATACACTTCCTCGACTCGAATGAGGTACAGATCAGGGACCCACACCTTACGATGGGCTTCTGACGGCACATAACCCGCACTGCCATTGTTCACCTCCTGAATGTACGGGCAGGTGTCTCTGTACTCGGGAGCAAGGTCTAGCCTCCCGTCTGACCAGAATTGTCTGAGCACCATCAAAAGGCGGACTATACCGAATTCTTCGTTGACATCCTTGATTTGCAAGATGTCCACAATAATTCGAACCACCGTCGTGCACTGTTCAGACCGTTCTGCCTCTGACCCTATTTCACATGTCACGTTCCTTTCTCGTTCCTCCGCAGTGAAGTTGATAGACTGGGGCACCATCCGGTTGTAATGATGGCATACCAAAGATATCTCGGCGCAAGCCAGATGGAGAGGGTCGGATTCATCGCCGCTGCCTGGCTGAAGCTTCGAAGTGTTTGTTGTGTTGGATAGGACTGATCCGTTACGTGGTTGTATGGAGGCTGATCTTCCTTCGATGAGATTTGCACTGCCAACCGCTAAAACCGTAGCTAAAAGGACTAATGCGCGGAGCAACTTACAGGCTTTAAACCCAGCTCCATTCTTGCATGGCAGCGCTCTCGCATGCTTATGCGACTGGCTCTTAAATCTGTCGTTTCTTTTGTGATCAGATTTGAGTGTGCTAAATGGATTTAAGTAGGCCGATGGGTCGGTTTGAGCCATTTCCACCATCAGATTCAAACTTCCCCTGGCTTTTTCACTTTAGATAGCTTATCTGAATGAAATATTCCGTGCATGGAGTGCCAGTAAGTTCGCAGCAAAAGGTACCAAACATGCACCCCAGTTGGAGTGTGCGTTATAGTAAAGGTATCTTGTGCACGATGTAAATCTGTACGCACCGAATCAGGACAATATAACACTGCCCGAATGCTCAACCACGATAGTTTCGTTTTCAAGCAAGAATTCGGTCGTTGCACGTGGATTTATTGCTCCACGTGGTTGAGTAATAACGGGTCGATCCCCTTCGATTGAGCGTAAAACGACCATGGACGCGAACTATTAACCATTAAACTCGATTCCCAGTTTTCAGCTGGAGTCATAGTTAAACATGTCATTGCAGTGCGCACCCAACAAATCCCGTGGTTTTCTATTTTCTTGTTTTGGGCTGTAACATACCTTAGTTTTTACGTAACTATTTGCATTCCACGCCAAGCGTCGTCCGACCCGCGCTGCAAGGCGTGCTATATGTCGGTAACTCAGCGACGACGCTCGTCTAGCTTACTGTCTGGGGAGCTGGTGGCTGGGACCGATTTAATTTTGTTGTGTGTTTGTGATGTCGGGCTAAGAGCAGATGTACTCCTGTTAGGGTGTGGCAAGATTGATGCAAGACGTGTGCCGAAAATTGACGTCGTTATCAGGGAATTGGTATCGTTATCAGGGGATTTAAGAGAAAATCACTGGGCGAGGAGGATTTGGGCCAGCCGCATTCCGGGTAGCATAAAGCAAAATCTGCGCGATTCGTCAGCCTTTCTGCCAATCCAGCAGTTGCACTCAACTTTCATTTTCCAGTTTGATTTGTTTCTTAATTTAACCGGATATTATAGACACTAGTGGCTACTAGTGTCTATAATATCATGTTTATCATGTATTATTCATGCGTCATATCTGCACAGCCACGCACGTATCGGAGATGCTACGGGGGCATGTGCGCCGCTCTGATGTGTCGGCTTGTGCCACTCGAGCAACGGCCTCCGAGCAGCTACAGCTGCTGCGTGTCCGGACTAAGCTGGGGCGCAGGTCGTTCATGTTTGGAGTATCTGGCGAGTGGATGTTGCTGCTCGCAGACTTGCGGGCGGTAGCGGCCGCGAACAACGCTACCTTCAGGACAATCTTGACATGACCTGATCAGTCAAGTCGATAAACACTTGCTGCCATGTGGTCTGCCGCATTCAT